CAAACCAGTGCTGGCTTTGGAGTTGGATTTGGCTTTCCTCCTCTAAATCCAAGCATATTGTTAAAATAAAATTCAGAGTTTCTGTATTATATCAAGAAGCCAATTGATGGAAGACAGAAGAAAACAAAATCCAGGGACTGTCATTTGTCTAAACTAGGTTCTTTCTCTGAAAGCCTAATTTCCCTCATTTTTATTATCTTCCTTATTGTTGCCTTTCCCATTATGCGTACCTATAAAAGTTGAAATTTCTGTATTGATATTAATGTTTAAGTCTTCCACAGCGAACAAAGAATTTCCTAACAGCAATCTCTTAATTCTCCGGAAAGAAGATGGGCCCCAACTTCATGGATTCCACTTGATCCAACTTGATCCCTTTGCACTGACAATCACTATCCTAAAACTGGTTTAGGACTATATTGCTCTAGACAAGTCCAGACTATCTAGCTGAAATGGTGCACCTTCTTATTACACTCTGGCCAACACTTCAGATAAGAATTTCAGTCAAGCATCACACACCAAACAGAGATTAGGTACAAATGTTACAGCTAGTCCGCTCGAGACTTTTGTTACTCTAAAACTGTCTTCCTACAGGATCCCATAAGGTTATCATCATCCCATTTCAGAAGGAAGCAATTCTAAGAATAAAACGCCCCTTTCCCTACTGTTGACACAAAGGGATAATTTACACCTGTTTAGGGTTGAGTTTGGAAGAAGGTGTTTGGACTCGGGTATTTCTTTTAGATAAGTTTAGGGTATAGATGGGAAGGACATGGTTAGGGTAGGATATAGGTAGACTAATATATTTCTTGTGATTTACCTTAGTAATTATTCACTATAGACAACTTACATTGCTATAGATTCTCTATGATGCAACTTATGTACAGTCAACTTGTATTCCTTTCTTGAAAAGTTTGTATATTACATTTTGTTATACTGTGTAAGGTCTTCTATTTACGATGTTTTGTTCACAAATATCCTTATCACATTCTAGGTATACATGCTTTTACATATATTTAAGATATTTTTATATTGACATAATTTAGTACATTTCTATCATGTTGCACTATACAGCTCTACCTCTGCTTAAGACACTTCAACTATGTCTCTGTTTTAGAGATTCACATATATATGTGCATATAGTTATATTGCTGTAACCTTGGTCCTTGCTAAATTATTCTGGGACGATTAAGCCATTGTTCAACTAGGTTCCCAAGAATTACAGATATTTTCACCCACATACTTATATCTATTGAGATTAGTCAGACATAGATTTTGATCTTCAAACACATCAGAGAGCTGCAGAATATGGCATTTAAATGTTTTAATATTAGTATTCTGTTGACATGAGACACAATTGCTCCTGACAGCACCAAGATATTCCTGAGAAAACGTTGGGCGCTGATGTCCCTCCTTCTGGAGTCTGTTCTCTTCTCAGCTAATGGCCTCTTGGGCAAAGAACTGCCCCCACTTTGAGCACTAACTTGGGATATGCTGTCCTACTGTGCTTGCAGGAGATAAACTTAGAAGACTGCTGAACCTTGCCAAGTCAGGGTAAGACAGCCTTTCTACCTCCCTGCTTCTGTGTTGGTCAGTCTGATGCTCTAGGCCTTAGCCAAAGCTGGCTGCCCCTACACTGCTGTGAGATTTTAGGTGACTGTCCAGATAACCTGCTGTTTCTGTCTTCACTGCACCTTTAGAAGCTGCTCACCTGTGCTTCCTAAATGATGAGGTTGAAAATTAGACTGTCACAATTATTGTTTTCTCTTCCCAGATAGAAATATTAGGTACAAGACTTAAACTTTCCAACTTAGGGCAACTATGTAGCACTCTCTGCTATGCCTTTACCTTAGGACTGGATATGTAGATCTTGCCATTTCCTCTTGTTTTACTGGCTTTAGATCTTGAGAGTGCATGTTCATACTTTTCCTTCGCCTAGCACATACTTAAATTTTGCCATCTTTGTACATAGTTTTCTATCAAGTCTAAATCTTTTCTTTAGACTAAAAGGGGAATTGTAGGGAGAGATCTTACTAGGTACCTGTGGCACTGACCACGCCTGTTTGGGCATGGACAGGGGTGAGTAAGAGTCATGTGGAGAGAGGTGAGCTCTCTCTCGGGGTTCTGGTCGGTTCTCGGACCAGCTCAAACTGGATGTTGGAAGGGCTCTCCCTGGGTTATTAATTTATCATGTAAGAGATTTCTCCTCAATAAAAATAACCTATGACATCCCTATCCTGTGAATGGTAATCTTCATCTAATAACAGTATAATCGTTTGTAGAGTATGAGTAATTTGGATATAAAATGTTTGTTATCCTTTGCACAAGCATCTGTGAAAGCATTAATACCAATGTCTACCAGAATTTTAGTTGTCATTTTTTTTGTATGGCTGTTGGTGTATCATTAAAGACTCTTCAAACTGCATCCTTTGGATAGTGATCTCCTCTAGGTCCCAAGTAATTATGTTCAATAATGTCAGGAATCATCCATGAAGAGCAAATGAGCTACATCTTACCTACTGGTAAAAGAAGACTCCTTCTCGCCATCAAATCCTATAAGAAGGAGAATTTTACCATAAATAAATTTATTCAATATCATTACCTTGTGCACATACAATTTCAGCAGGAGATAACAGTGAGTTCCCCGTGTGGAAAGTATTAAATATATTCCAGTCAATCACAGAGATCTCTGGTTTTGGAAGAAGGAGGTGCTGCGGGGTTTCCTTTGTGTCCCAGGAGAGATTCCTAGATGCGAAAACCTGACTTCAGCTGAGTTGTGAGGAAAGCTGGTTAGCAGGGAGGCCATTAGTTCCACATGGCATCAGAGGCCTCTTCCCTGAACATTCCATTGTGTCCTGGAGACCATGGAATCCTGTTATGTCACCTGGGTTGTAGCAACACCAACTGCCTTTGGAGAGCCCTTCAGTGCCCTTGAGGTTCAATGATGGACATGCTGGCAACACTGGGGAATCTCTTTAGAAGAGAATCTGGAGAGGGAAAAGAGACAAGAGAGGCAGAAGAAGGCTGAACTTAAGGATTGGGACAGAGGTGTGAGTACCCAGCATGCATTTGGAGAGATCCTGTCAAGTGGCACCTTCTGTGAGAAGTTAGCTGCTGTGAGATTGTGGTGATTCTTTATCTGCCTGGCAAGATTGTGTGATGAGCACTACATGGACCATCTGGAGAGCCCTGTCACACAAATCAGTGTATGGCTACAAGGCCTGGGGCTGATCTCTGTACCTTTGGGTCCTCTCTGAGAAGACACACCTGCAACATCTCTTGGTAGCATTCTCTCTCACTCTTTCTCCCTGTCTCTCTCTGTCTCACACAAAAACAAGCACACATACCAAAACACGCATGTGTGTTGTGTGTTTGTGCATTTCTACAAGTTTAGCTCTCTAGACCTTGCAATAAGGTGTCAATGGTTGGGCATGAGGAGTTTCCTGTCTCACAGTTCCCAGGTGATACCTGTGATGAGCATTGGGATCCCACATTTAGCATTACAGTTCTGCCAATATGCTCATCTTACTGCCATGTAAATGTGCCCTTGAGTAGTTTGTAAATCTATCATGAGTTCCTCTCTGAAAAACATTTAGTCCTATCTAGAAAAGTACTCATGGTGTGATTTTGGCCTCGATTGTGACAGACACCAGGACTGAGAATTTTTATTTTGTATAGAGGAGAAACATTATCCCAGTTTTTGGTGTGCATAGACCATGAAGTTGATTGACTCTGGGGACCCTCTTAGCCATCTATTTCAGCAGTCTTCCAAAAATAACTAAGGGAGCCCCACCTCCCTTCACCTGAACATCCTGCTTCTGCTGCTCGAGGGTCAGAATAAGCACTAGAAGACCCAAGTACATACGAGACAGAATGAAGCATTCCATGGACTCCAGTAGCCTTCAACATAACCTGAAATCATACAACCCAGGAAAACTTTGTTCATGGAGGTTTTTGCTTCTAAGACTATGCTCTACCATTGGCCAAAACCTTTTTCTGAAAATCTCCAGATGGAGCATAAGCAGGTCATGACAGACCTGCATAGGTTGGAGAATGAGAAAAAAGAAGCCTTTGAGAGATTCAGTGAGCTCTACAAGGAGTCACTCTACTATTGGTAAGTGCCTGGCTTGCAGGGGACCGCAGCATGGTGAAATGTCCATCTCTGCCTTTCCTTTTCTCTGGACTGCAGAGTCCACACCTCTGGTTCTAGCCATTTCGTTTCTTAGCAAGAATACTTAGCAAGCAGTTCTGGGTCTTGTTTTTCTGACAAACAGATTTGCTAATTGTGAGAGAGACTGTTAGCTCCTCCCAGCCCCAGACTCTCAACCTTAAACAGAATCTAGTTCAGTGGTTTTTAACCTTCCTAATACTGTGACCATGTTAATACAATTTGTCATGATTTGTTGAGGTCCAATCATGAAATTATTTTTCCTGCTACGTCATAATTGTAATATTATTACTGTTATGAATCATGATGTAAGTATTTGTTATGCAGGAAATATGAGATGCCACCCATTGAAAGAGAAATTCCATCACCAAAGGAGTCATGACCCATGGTTTGAGTACCACTTCTCTAGGTAGAGGAACATATTGCAACATGAGATTGGTATCAGGCAGGGTCTCAGGAGGGGCCTATTGCCCCCATGGGACCTCTACACCCTTCAGATCTCCTGTCATCCCTCCGAGTGGATTGGTCCCCTACCTCCTGATGTGGCGCCATTACCATGGTCAGTTAAGGGCAATGAAGGACCCGCTCTCGTTAGTGAAGATACTTGGATTTCTTTTGTTGCTGGCATATTCAGAAATAGTTTGATTCCTTCTGGAATCTCCTGTTCTCTACTTTTGGCCTTCTGAGAGCAGCTGCCATGGCTGCATGGGCCTCTTGTCTCTGTCTCCTTTGGGAACCTGAGGACCAGTGGGATTGATGGGTTATGGAGGCAGGGGTGGTAGGAAGAGGGTAAAGGGCTTACTATACAGCGTGTTTCCGGCAATCTGCAGCACCAACTCCAGTTGGAGAAGACTCAGATGCAGTATGTCGTGCACAAGCCGAGGCAGGAGACCAAGAGAGATCTAGGGGAATGGATCTTGCTGCAGCACTACTTGGGAGAATTGACAGAGATCTGTGAGGACCAGGAACAAGTCATCCGAGACCTCAAGAGCCAGGAGCAGCAGGTAGGGAACAGCAGCTGGCTCAGGGTGAGGCCCAGCACCATTTCTTCATGCAGCATAAGTCTGTCTGTCCATCAACACAATCGTGGGTTAACTTAGAACTTTACACACACACACACACACACACACACACACACACACACACACACACACATCCTCCTTGGCTTTCATGACATCCAACTGTTCATTTCTGGGTCCATGCATCACTATTTCTGAGAAGTGAGTCTCTCATAAGAATGAATTAAGAAACAAACCCTTGCTGCTCTGATGGGGGGAAGCCCTGTGTATATGTCCATAAAGCACTGTTGGCCAATAGGGAACTAAGTTAGGTGGGACTAGGAATCCAGGAGGACTCTGGGTAGGAGAAACACAAGAGAAACTCAGGAAATCAAGATGTAACGCCATGGGGTAGGAAGCCCGGAAACCTCTCCGGTAAGAGAAATACTTAGATTATCAATTATGGGATAAATACTTAAGTCAGAGCTAGCCTGTAAGAAATAAGCAAGGCCAACAGCTTCATAATTAATATAGCATCCTGTGTGTTTATTTGGGACTGATGCGGCTCTAGAACCAAGCTGGCGGGAAGACTTCTCTCAAGGGTATGGCTTCTCTTTACACTGCTCTTCTCAAAGCTGCAGCTCAATCAGGGAGATAGGTCAATGACATTTCACATTCCTACATGGCATTGTGATGGGGTGGTGCTCTGTACAGACTTGAGGGAGTTAGTTCCAATTCCTATGGCTCATTTGATTTTCAGGGTTCTGTGAGATCCCAGTGGGGGCAGGGGAAGCAGCTTGCAGGGAAAGGAGCCCAGTGCAAATGTCAAGAGAGTGATTCCCTTTGTCACCTTGTTGGATGGCATGTGACCTTTCTTCTTATACTCTCTGCATCCCAAAGTGGCCTCTTACCCATGTCCAATCCTTGGTTCACACTGACAGCAGTGTTTACTGTGTTTCCTTGGCAAGTTCTCCCATCATGGAGATCACACTATGGAGATGACGGGTTGTCCAACCAGCTCAGTACAGTGCTGCCAAGCACAGGATATTCTCCTATGCAATATCAGTGCCAAGGGATGGAGATCACAGTCATTGGACTCCTCTGAAAGAGCCACCATGCTTAGGCTAAACATGTGTGCTCATCTGGTATGGGATCTCCTTGACTTCTTTTGAGTTCTCTCTCTGTGTCTCTCTCTCTATCTATCTGTATATCTATCTTTTGCTCTTTCCCTTTCTCTCTCTTTTTTTCTGCCTGTTATTCTCTCTCTCTCTCTCTCTCTCTCTCTCTCTGTCTGTCTGTCTGTCTCTCTCTCTCCATGTCTGTGTTTGTGTGCACACATACATGTATGTGAGCACCAGGAGAGGGCAGTGGAGGTAAGTGAGGGGTGTAATGCCCCATGCATGTGGATGGTGGCTAGAGGAGGCCACAGGGTTTGCCAGTCTCTACAGAGAAACACTGATGCTTGCCTTTTGGGTTACACTGACTGACCAGCAAGCGCTTGAGATCCTCTGTGTGTGCTTGTGTGAGAGGGTATTCATGTCTGTGCTCAAGTCTCTACTAAGAACACAATCTCCTAATGAACAGGAGCAGCAGAGACTGAAGGAGCGAAAGGAGAGGGAGCTGGTCCTTCAGTGAAAGAACTTAGCACGTAAGCTATTTGACTGTCTCTCAGATGAGGTAGGACCCAGACTGGGAATTGGAAGTTGGATTCAAGTCCATCTCTTCTACCTTGGAATTCAAGTCGATCTCTTCTATCTTGGATCTCTGCCTTTTGTGGTATCTGCCTATAGGCAAGGCTCCAGGCAACACCAGACAAAGAACACTTCAGAATATTGTGCTGGTCCAGTCAACAAGAACTTCCCTCCAGGAAGTAATACGTTTGATTTTCAGTGAGTCTGCAGAATTGTGTCCTCTTTAATACCGTTTGAGATACCTAGTGTGTTCTTTTTTGTTGTTGTTGTTCTTTTTTTTCAAGACAGGGTTTCTCTGTGGCTTTGGAGGCTGTCCTGGAACTAGCTCTTTTAGACCAGGCTGGCCTCGAACTCACAGAGATCCACCTGCCTCTGCCTCCCAAGTGCTGGGATTAAAGGCGTGCGCCACCAACGCCCGGCCCTAGTGTGTTCTGAGTAGGCTTTCTTTGATCTCACAGGTCTCTGCCTGATTCTGCCTCCCAAGTCATGGCCAATAAAGATGTGTCTAACCATGCCTGAAGCTGTAGAAATGAAAGTCCCACCCTTAGCCACTCTTTGATATAACACTGGCTGTCTTCTTTGTTTGACCATTTCCCATGTAGTGTTCTAGGGGTATAATAAATTTAGTCACTTCCAGGATGAACCCAGGAAGACGTCTCTGCTGTATGGTTGTTCATAGCCTTCACTGGACATCTGTGACAGACTCCTCTAGAGAACAAGGGTTGTTCATAGCCTTCACTGGATATCTGTGACAGACTCCTCTAGAGAACAAGGGTTGTTCATAGCCTTCACTGGATATCTGTGACACACTCCTCTAGAGAACAAGGGTGTAGATTGTTTCCCAACGGAAACAAGGCTGTTTTTATTTACTGAAAGACTCCCCGATGCGCCTGTGTTCTCAGGCACACATCTGAGGAAATGTTGCTCCAACATGATAGGCTCCATCTTGTATATTGCCTGGGTGTAAGGTTCCTTCTGAGCAGGAGGCAAGAGCATGCCCCATGACCTTGTCCAGTTGTCTAAACTGCAATGCTGTGTTATGTCTACCTATACAATGAGATAGTGCGTGTCTAACTCACCATGAACATTCTCTTTCTCACTATGCTGTTATCCATGGACTTAATGTGCTATTCCAGTCATCACAATGATGTCCCTGGAGTGTCAGAGCATGTTCTGTTCTTTCTCATAGAGCACACACATGCAGTGCTCAGATCAAATTGTGACACTGATTAAAGGCTGACTGAAATTCAAGGACAAGCTACTCTTGTTCCTTAGAGGTACAAACAAGGACTTCTGTCATGTGATTAATGTTGAGTGTCAAGCACAACTAAATTTTTGTGAGGTCACAGCTGGACGGCTGACATTGCAGGACCCCACTAGGATTGTCACCTGAATGCCTCCTTCCTCTTCCAGATGAGAAACACTGCAACATGAGCTAGAGCAGGCCATGATGAGAGCCCCTGCAGTCAGAGCTGCAGCCTCAAGGGCACTAAGTGTCACAGGCAAGTGAGCCACCATTGCATTGTATTTTCAGAAACAATGGCATCCTGGGGAGGATTTTCTTCCTTGAATCTCTTTTTCCATGTGTGACTAGGCCAGGATTTTGTCTAATTTGTGACAGAGCAAGGCTGATTTTGGATCTGATTGCCTTTCTTTATCTCATGGCACCCTTTCAGAGAACTGAGGGAGCCTAAGGAAGCCACAGACAGCCAAAAACCATAACATTCTCCAGCACAAAATCAAGACTTCATTAGAAGAAATGTCATTCTAGCTGTAATCTCATCAGTGAGGCAAATATCATCTTAAATCTAGGTAATACGTCCAAATTCTGATCCACATGTCTGTTGGCTCACTATTTCTGGAGTAAAGAAACTATCACAAAGAAGCTTGAGATACCAAAACCTGTCAAGAATTACTCAGGGCCCAGACATCCACCAGCAAGTGGGGCTCAACAACATGGAGGGAGGCTACGTCTCTGCTTTTAATTACTCTGAAAGGTTGTTGCTGAGAACATTTGTCAACTGATGAGTCCTCAGCCCTTCACATTTGGAGGGAAATCTGTCAAGGGAGACTGTTGATGCCATGCTGCCATCCAGACATCAAATTCTCATCCTGTCCAGTGCTGAAGCTGCTGCGTGTCATGTGCCTGGGATGCTGAGGTCAATGCTCTACAGAGATGACAACTGTTCCCCGCTGGTTCTCATAATTTGTTCTTCCATTGTGAAATCGACTGCGGATTCTCCTATTTCACAGCTTTGATGGAAGAGAGCTGTCCTGAGAAAAGATTGAGAGGGGATGTAGAGTGGTCTTCTATGTCTTTGGACAGCAGGTCCACCGTGGACTTTTCTGGTCTTGAGTAGAAAGCAGACATTTGGTGACGGAAGGATATCATAGTGCCCGACATATTTTAGGATCGCCTTTGTCAAGTTCTTGACCTTCAAATCCCCCAAATGGCCTGGCTACACTTGTCTTGAAAAGGTCACTATAATCTATGCCTATCTTCCTGTTATGTGTCCAAAGCTGGTCACAGGGTGTAGGTCAGTGTCACTAAATTTGCACATTGAAAATACTGGTTTGTTTTTTGGAAGTTGAGGTTTGTTTGTTACGAGTTTTGGGGTGTTCTGGTTTCACGTTTTATGATTCTTTGGTTCTACATTTTGGTTTTGTTTTATATTTGATATTTTGCTAAAGCTATATGCTTTATGTACAAAATGCCCTGTTGATGCCCTTTGTTCTTGTTTTCTATTTGATATTTTGCAAAGACTATATATTTTATATATAAAACGCACTGTTTAAATCCCCAAATGACTCTATTTGTTTTTTCCTAGAGTTTTTATTTAAATTAGAAACAATCTTACATATGGACCCCAATTTCCTCTCCCTCCCATCCAACCATACCTCCCACCAACTCCCCATCCCTCTGCTCCCCAGGAATGTTAGGCCTTCCATGGGGGATCATCAAAGTCTGTCACATCATTTGGGGCATGGCCTAGGGCCTTCCCAGTGAAGATGACTATGTTTTCAAAAAATAAAAAAAAGGGAAATTTTAAAGTCTTCATTCTATTTTTTTTATTTTTCATTTTTAAATTTAAATTAGAAACAAGGTTGCTTCACATGTGAATCCCAGTTCACTCTCCCTCTCCCTCCCCTCCTCCCATGCCCTCCCACCAGCCTCCCAACCCCGCTCCCCCAATCCCCACTCTGATCCCCAGGGAGGTTGAGGCCCTCCATGGAGGATTTCCAGAGTCTGTCATTTATTTCATCCAGGGCAGGGCCTAGGTCCTCCCCCAAGAGTCCAGGCTGAGAGAGCATTCC